CTTTTCAATCAACTGACCCATAGCAGCTCTTTCAAGTTTGTCTGGACTTTGTCAAGTTTAATTGTAAGTTGGGTTTTTACACATCTCATGAGCTATCATGAGCTCGAAGGGAGAGATGACCTTCACCAGAATTCTCAGTTCCTCCATATCATTGTGGACAATTTTAAACTAGAAAGTGGGGGGGAGGGTATAAAAATAAAATTACTTAAACTAAACAGTATGGATCCATAAGATACCCGGATACTGTTTGTCTGGGTACTACAGTGCTTTACAGGATCCCCATGGGCCAACCAGGTGTTACATATGCATGCGTACGTTGGGCCAAGCTTGTCCAATTTATGAATAAACATTTATACCTGGAGTTCACCTTTAATGTGCTTTGCTGTAACATGGTAAAATACACATTTTACCAATATGAAGCGAGAACCCCTTAGGGCTCATGTAAGCTTATAGTTTAACAAAGCAACAGGTGTTCAGTTTCTTACAGTTGGTCTTCTTTAGAAAACAGCCATAGCCTGAGTAGAAAATCCTGTCCCCTACCAGCATGCTGCACAGTAGGACCCTTGCTCTCTGTGTGGAAGCAGTCATCTCTCAGCAGAGTTCACCATGCCTCCTGCTGGGTCACCGCTGGATCACTCTAATTAGCAGGCAACACAAGCTTTGTTAATTGCAGAGCTATAGTTTATGAGGGGGTGTATTGGACCACTGCATAGGGAGACCACTGCCTACTCACAGAGAGTGCAGCTTGCTAGCAGGGCACAGGGATTTCTTATTCAGGCTGCTGTCTAAAGAAAACCAACTGTAAAGTGTAATTATTATACGCACCTGGAATGTACAGTATTTAGTTGATTTGTACTGAAAGTTCAGTTGAGCGTTAAACTTTGCCTGTCTCTAGCTGGGCCCGAGCGCCCCTTTGTAAGGCTTTGAGCAACAGCTTTTTTTTCTCTTCCCCTTTTAAATGACATATACGAAAGACAGTAGCCGACCGAAAGAAAAAAAAAAAACATCATCCTGAGTTACAACATCATTAGGCGGCTTATGAACATAGAGCCAAGCGCATCTATATTTCTCCGAATAATTTGTTTTACATGTGAAGAAAGAAAAACACCTTTTGCAATTAAATGTAAAAAAAGGAAAGAAAATCCCTGCGTGAAACTTAGCCAGAGATAAATATTTACCCTGAGCAAAGCAAAAGAATGAAGAATGCCAGTTATGATTAATGAGTTCCCAGCTCAAAATTTGAGAAGCCAAGTTTGTTCAACTCAGAGTTTGATCTGGATTGTAAGTTTGAAATTCAGCTGGGAAATCGAGCCAGGGAGTAGAAAAGGGCAGCAGTTCAATAACGTCTATGCTTAGGATAGGAAATATATATCTGTGCCATAAATTTCCGACTGCCACCTACGTCTGATATTAAAGGTCACGGCTTCTCTTTTGACATCTTTTGCAGCAGCAAACCCTGGAGCGCGACAAAATTTTCCAGTGCTGAAATGTATGTCAAACTGTCATGACAGCTGAGCGGCGATAGCTCATCCCTGTTTGTTTTACATATATCATCCGCCTGTAACATAAAGTCAGATTATTTCTCTGAAGTCACCTCACCAAAACTTTTTTTTTGTTTTTGTTTAAGAAGAGAAAGTGAAAGGGCTGGGGACAAAATTAAAGTGGTTACATTAAAGGGGTTATAATTCCTCCAACTGCTATGCAAAACCTTAATGAAAAGGTTTTGGCTAGACATACTCTTTACATAAAAGAAGACATTCCTTGTGTCCCTTCGGAAAGCATTTTCCTTGCTCATCCCAGAAGCTTAGTTGTGAAGTAGCTCACAACTAAGGGGGTTTCTTGGTTGCTTTCTTTGAGTTTCTCTGTTGCTTTCTTTAAGTTTCTCAGTTGCTTTCTTTGAGTTTCTCCGTTGGATTTCTTTGGGTTTCTCGGTTGCTTTCTTTGGGTTTCCTGATTGCTTTCTTTTGGTTTCTCTGTTGCTTTCTTTGAGTTTCTCAGTTGGATTTCTTTGGGTTTCTCGGTTGCTTTCTTTGGGTTTCCTGATTGCTTTCTTTTGGTTTCTCTGTTGCTTTCTTTGAGTTTCTCAGTTGGATTTCTTTGGGTTTCTCGGTTGCTTTCTTTGGGTTTCCTGATTGCTTTCTTTTGGTTTCTCTGTTGCTTTCTTTGAGTTTCTCAGTTGGATTTCTTTGGGTTTCTCGGTTGCTTTCTTTGGGTTTCCTGATTGCTTTCTTTTGGTTTCTCTGTTGCTTTCTTTGAGTTTCTCAGTTGCTTTCTTTGATTTTCTGTTGCTTTCTTTGAGTTTCTCAGTTGCTTTCTTTGGATTTTCTCTGATGCTTTCTTTGGATTTCTTGGTTGCTTTTTTTGGGTTTCTAGGTTGCTGTCTATGGGTTTCTCAGACGCTTTCTTTGGGTTTCTCTGTTGCTTTCTTTGATTTTCTAGGTTTCTTTCTTTGGGTTTCTCGGTTGCTTTCTTTGATTTTCTCTGATGCTTTCTTTGGATTTCTTGGCTGCTTTCTTTGGGTTTCTTGGTTTCTTTATTTGGGTTTCTCTGTTGCTTTCTTTCATTTTCTAGGTTGCTTTCTTTGAGTTTCTCAGTTGCTTTCTCTGATTTTCTAGGTTTCTTTCTTTGGATTTCTTGGTTGCTTTCTTTGTGTTTCTCAGTTGCTTTCCTTGATATAATTGCATATGCAGAGTACCTTGTATCTGCACATGGCTTATCAGACAACATAAAGTAATTTGTACTGGCAGAATCATGAATAAGCCCAATATATTTCTTAAAGTGCAACTGAAGCCTAAACTTTTTATTTTAGTTTTGGATAGAATGGAAAAGGATTAGAACACCTGACAAGCTGTTTTTTTTATATTCCTTTTAGACAGTCTCTTTCTAAATTAAAGTCTGTAGGGAGTCAAACATAGGTGGTGGTAAGTGCTTGCGGTCGAAGTTTGGCAGTTGATAGCGGATCCAATGAGGGAAGGGCAGCTACTAGAAAGCAGGTTACAGTACTTTTATCCTATTCTAGTCATGTGACCTGCTGTCTAGCGGTATAAGGTTCTGGTAAAAGAAAGCAGAGTCTGGAATGAGTCCAGCTTGTCACTTGTGTTGCTCTAATGTTTTTGTTGGACAATGCAGACCGAGCATCTGACATTTCACAGTCTATCTTTTCAGCTTCATGTCCCACAAGCAAATTGTTTTAGAATTTATTTCCTGCCATTTGATTTGAAATGGCCGTTGTACCTTTCCTCCGCTTCACATTTTAATAAAGAAGCTTTAATTAAAAGTCACAGTAAAACTATATAAATGAATATTGGTGCGTTTTAATAAATGTAATTTTTATAGATAGCCTTCCCTCTCAATCTTTAATCACTTCAATATCGGCGTATTAACATGAGCTGCATAAATGAACAGTGTGTATTCTTTCCCATTATTGCTATAATTTATTAATTGAAGATTACTTATTTAAAGTGTATTTAAACCCAAAATCTTAAATGTAATATATTGCAGCTTACTAGTCCTTACATGTGGTGGCTGCATTAGTTTTCTTTTTTTTCATGTTTTCTTTCCTGATGATCCTGCCAATAACACACTTCCTGTCCTAAGGTGACAACGCTCACTCACAGTACTGTGTCTATGGAGGAGCAGGGTTGTCACCTTAGCACTGGAAGTAGGTTAGGACTACAGAATGCCTCCTCCATGCTTAATCTTCATAACATAGGGGGAGATGTGTCAAAGAAGAACTCCAGGAACTGTTTTAATTAACCCTTGCAGTGGGGGTGGCCCCCCGCTGCAAGGGTTAAGTGCTTGTTGTGTCTAGGTGTAAAAATAACAAAATTGTACTCACCCGAAGCTTTGAGCTGACTTCTTCTTAGACCATCCCTGGAATATCTTTTCCCCTCCTCTGCAGTGGTCTAAGATCCGGTAAATCATCACTGTGTATAGACGTGAGAATGCTGAGAAACATTCCAATGTGCTGCAGGGGAGGGGACAGGCTGGAGGGAGCGCTGTGACCGCTAGTCGGCTCAGAGCTTCGGGTGAGTATTACTTTGTTATTTTTCTCACTAGACACAAATGAGCATTTAACCCTTGCAGTCCGAGGGTAGCCCCACTACAGGAGTTAACAAAAAGTTTTCCTGGAGTTCTTCATAGAGGTAAGCAGGGAAGAAAATTAGGACTGTTTGAGAGGACACAGCAAAATACACAGGGCGGCACAACATTTCTGGCAGGATCAACAGGTTTTTTTGCACATATTATTATATATTATCATATTGAATAGATGTAACAAACACTTCCAATTATATTTTTAACTGACCAAAAGGGAACAAAAGAGAAAAGTAATTGGTGGGGTTTATATAAACATTCAAAGGTAGGCAACCATGGCACTCCAGTTGGTTTGAAACTACAAGCCCCATGAGGCATTGGGAGTTCTGATGGCCACAGGCATGACTCCCAGAGACAAAGGCATGAGGGGATTTGTATTTTTAGCACAGATGGAGTGCTGCGGTTTCCAAATCCTGTACTAAAGAAGAACTCTGGAATTTTATATAACTTGCCCTTGAAGTGGGGCTACCCCTGTACTGCAAGGGCTAAAGGCTTGTGTTGGTCTAGGGGTGCAAAAAAAGAAGATATAACTACCTGATCCCCGGTCATACAGCAGTCAGTGCTCACCTCTGCCCCCCTCTACGGCTCCCTCACATCTAATGCAAGTCAATGGACTTCACCATGGGTCCTTAGACCAGGGGAGAAGAGTGTGTAGAGGCTGGTCCAGCAGCCCGGTGTGGCCGAGGAGTATATCTGCTTTATTTGAGCACCCTAGACCAAACAAGCACTTTACCCTTTACAATGCAGGTGGTAGCCCCACTGCAAGGGTACGTTTTGTCATTCCCAGAGTTCCTCTATAAATATTCTTTTATGTTACTGTTTACATTTTATTTCTTAACATTCATTAAAATACATTTTATTTCTCAACATGTACTAACATAACTCTTCTCTCTGTTTTACTCTAGTGTCTCTATGGCTGCTATGTCCATTCGTCCATTATTCCAACGTTCCACAGAAGATGTTACTGGCTGCTACAGGTAGGATCACCTGGATGGTTTTCTATGCTCTCCATGATGGTTTTGCGGCTGTCCGATGCTGGTTGGCTGAATTGTTGGTTTGCGTTGGTTGGTTCCTTTATGTGGACTCTCTCTGGTTGATCTGCTTATAGTGGCAGCGTTTGTATCCTGTTGGAGAAGATGGTGCTCTTTATACCTTTAAATAATTGTTTCTCGCATTGTATCCCTTGTTAGTTTTAAAGCTTTGCTTAAGGATATTTGGAGTATTATTATTCGTACAGCGACGCTCTGATGGGATCGGAATTTATTATAATCTTTTACCGGAATACGTCTGGAAATATATAGTACTGCTCGATGCTTATAAGCGTGCCAGACTGCTAGACACGAAGGCGGCCATTTTTCACCTTAATATTCACGATAATATAGCCTCAGTTTTATCTGAAGAGAAGCTCCAGGCAGATAAATAAAACAACCTTTTATTTTCTAATATATACCTTGAAAAGCAATAAAGTCGATTTTTTTTAATTCCGCTAGTAGTTCCATGAATTGTCTCTGAACATGTTGTGAGACAAAAAAAATCCTTATTTTTATTTATAAAAAAATGCCATATTCCAGCTACAGTTCAAGCATGGCTCCAGCCAAAAGAAGAAGAACATTAACGTTTGCCAGGTTTTTACTGTTGACATTATGTAGATTCTCATGCACTTCCTGCGTGTGTCACTGAGGCGGGAAGTAAGTAAAGACTCTAACTGGGGGCACAGTCAGTAATAATACACTTTATTCAAAGTGGAGTGGGGAGGCGTGAGAATTGAAGTCAGGCTTCTACCGCTGTTTTGGTAGTCATATAGGGGATGGCCATCCTTTCTGTTTGGTCATCAGGACAGGAAGTGAGGGGAAATCTCCCCAATGGGTTCACAAATAGTAAAAAAAAAAAGAATCCTGAAAGAGGTTAAGGCCCCATGCTAACTAACCCAACCCATCCCACCCCACCTCACTCCATCTCACCCCATCCCATTACAACCCCATATCACCCCACCCCATCTCCTTTTGGAGACATGGAAAAATGTGTAAGATGGAGAGAACTCAAGGTGAAGGTCACTGGTGTGCTGAAGCTCAACTATTGGTCCAAATAGAAGGCAGGAGGTAGTAAGATCTGTTTTACCTGCCAAAGCATCTGTATGTCTGTCCATCCAGTCCTGAGATTTAAACAGGTCTTCCACACAGCACAGCCCTGTCTGCTAGTGCCAGAGACCAGATTTTTCTCTGCTGCAGTAAATTAACACTTAATGGCGTTATCCCTCCCCAAGCCTGCTATTGGATAATGAAGTAGAAGAAGCACACTAATGAGCTCATCTCCCTGTTACTCTGCTCTCTGTTGCTATCAGCATAGCCCTTGTTAGCACAGCAATCGACTGATTGGCTCCATGTGCTGCTTCCCCCTCTCCTAATCTATGCTCTGCTGAACAGGGGGTTGCAAGTGGCTGATACCAGGTAAAATTAAGCACTTACACTTAAAAAAAAAAAATTGAATGATATATTGTTGAGTACAGATCTGCAGGAATTTGTGTCATTATATCCGCCTGGAGCTTTCAAGCATCATCACTGAGGCTATGCTGAGTGGTTGCCACGATTTTTAATAACTTGCCAATGGCGGAATTCTTTTCTATGCCATCTTCATCTTGTAAAATGGCACCTTCATTCATGCATGTTACAGGTACACTTTAAGCTTTGCTGACTTGATCATTTTGAGGCTCTTTAATGATGTGGAAATGGCTTGAGGTGCTAGCTGGCCGAGATTCATTTATTGGGTCCCTACACGTAGCTTGAACTACACTGTTACCGTTCAGTACCTACCTAAACAAACAAAACAAACTTTTTTTGGCTGGAGTTACACTTAAAAAATTTACCTGTTCCAACTTACATACAAATTCAACTTAAGAACAAACCTACAGTCCCTATCTTGTTCGTAACCTGGGGACTGCCTGTATATAGAAATATGGTATTTTCAGTGAGGACGGTGACATGGCTGTGCCCGTGCAGTCTGTGCTGCTGCACTGGAGCTTATCGGGTCAAGATGAAGGAGGCCTGGGTAGATTTCTGGATAACGGACACTATAAAGGGTGCCCAGCTGTACTGCTAACATAAAGGATTGAGCTCATGTTCGGACTGAGCCCAATCCAAAACTGAGCCCATTTGAACCTAGAAGCTACATGGGGCCACCAGGGAATTCCTTGCCCGCAGCTGCACATAAACAAAGGGGCGGGATGCTAGTGCTGACATCATTTACCTCATATGGCCACATTAGGTCAATGTCCCTGACCAAATATAGCCAGTTGGCATTTAAGGTCAATGGTGTCACTGCATCCTGCCCCTTTGGTAATGCGCAGCTGCCGCAAGGAATTCCCTGGCCACAGCTGACTGGATGGCAGTGGAAGGAGCTTCCTTCCAAGTTGTAGGAGCTACTTCCATGTTCAGGGGAGCTCAAGTTCAGACTGAGTTTATCCCTAGTGACAAAGGAGCTGGGCTCTTGAAGCCTAACACCAGGGCCACCCTTAAAATTAGGTATTCTGAGGCACCCAGAGCATCCCGTGGGTACTCCTATGTCATCTTGTAGAATGCAGGGCCAGTGGTAGCCATTGCTCCTGCACTGTACATTATGGCATCGTTGAGTGGGATGGTGACCAGACTGGTTCAAGATAAGCTGGTTCAGGGGACTGCTGGGGATTGGGGAGGGAAGGGGTGATTTTAATTATTGTGGAACTGCTTGGTGTTGGACAGGGATGTCCCTAGCCCGGTGGTGGTGGGAGGTGCTGGTCTTTGATGTCCTCTGCATCATCTCCCTGGCTCATGACATCACTGGCCCTTACACATCTCACCGCCCCGCTCTTAGCAACCCATGAGTGGCATGCCTTAATGTGTAACTATGGGCTAAATCAAAAACAACATATATGCTGTAGTCTGCCACACACCAGATTTCACTGCAGAACAAGCAGTGTTGCCATCCTGATGGAGAATAATGATCTGCTGGCAGGATCAACAGGTAATAAAACTGCAAAGGAGAAAAAACAAAATCTGATGTTTTAATGCTGCTGACAGTCTACAAAATATATGTCATTTTTTATTTTTCCCCAAAGTTACACTTTAAGTGCAGTTGCAGTTTGATGAATCAGGGCCAAGCAGCAGAGTTGTCACTGCCCGTGAGGCTTCACTGCTACTAGACCAAGTAAGTATTTTAATTTATTTTAATTTAATTTTAAAAATATATATTTTTTTCATTACATTTTTGGATAATATACTGTACAATGTTTTTCATTTTAACAAAATAATCTAATCTACTTTTATTGTTTTGATAATAACATTATTAAACAACATCCTGCTCTCCTATTAACTTAATAAAATGATAATTCGATTTGATGCATCTTAAAACACTCCTTTAAATCACCGTTTCAACCTTTTTATTTTTCCCAGATCATCCCTGATTTCCAGCTATTTTAGACTTGCAGTAATTCCCTTCCGGTAAATGGAACACAGTTTAAACAATTTATCTCAGAAATGTAAATGATCAAATGGGACTTTGCTGACGGATGTCCTAATGTTTACTTTATTCTAATTAGATCGGTCATGTTTAGTATGTGGTAAAGCTAGTCTGTATTTAAATATGATTTATGTGGACATTTTCTTCCTACATGATATGTTAGTTAACCCTTCCTGGTCACCACATCGCTCCAATAGTTTGATTGCGAGGTTTTGCCACCTTGACTGATGGATTCATCCCTCTGTTAAAAACCCTAATAAACGCACAGACTGTGCAGCATGGATTTTAACGGTCAAAGCAGCCTTTTTATTAAAACCAACTTTAACAATAACTAAGTAGTAAACCAAAAAATATACAATAAATACTCTTAACGACTGTTTGATCTGAGAAGGGGTCTTTGGGTGCCCAAATAAGTCCTCTCCTAAAAAGCTCCTCCCATGTCCCCAGCCGCACCCCAACCATCTCGAGGACAGTTACTGCTCCCAAGGTCCAAGGGGCCAGGCCCCCCTACAGATACTGACACCAACATGGGGAGGCACCAATACCAGCTGATGGCACCCCCCTCCAATTTGTGTAATTGACTCAGATTTTCAGACCCCCCCAAAGACCCCCTAACCCGCCAAGGTGCCGTGACATAAAAAAACCTTGCAACCAGCGTAAACCACAACATTCAGGGAGGGCGGGTGGGGAAAACTGCTTCCTCCGTCGATCGCTGGCCTTGCAGGAAAGATATTTAATAGGTACGTTTAATAGACCGATATTGCTGTATCTGGATTGCTGGAAGTTGAGAACAGGTCTGTTATAGGGCCCATTTACACCTCTCAGTTGCAGTGCATTCCAGCAATGCCCATCACCTGCATTATAAAGTTTCGGTGACATTCATTTTCATTCATTTTTCAATGTTACCCCAAAGCACTAAGGCATATCAACTCTGACACACATACATTGCAGCACACCACAATGCACAGTAACGTGTAGTGATGTAAAGCGTCGAAGAAAAGGTGCATGTCTGATTTCCCATCCGCTCTGGTGCATTGGCGGCCCATTCAGAGCGCGACATAACAGGTATATTAATGCAACAGCCCAGAGCAGACAGGTCTGAATGGGCACCAAAATGAAAAGTGTCACATTTTTCCACATATTCATATTCAGGAGCAAAAAATACAATGTTTAAATAAGACCCAAGATGTCTCTATTATAAATTTTGCATTTAAAAAGTTCACCTTTACCATTGGCAGCCAGCAAGTAGTGAGAACAAGACTACGACTTTAGGTTCACCAAAGGCTGATTTACTGCTATGCTGTAAATACTATAGCATGGGCAGCCTGTGATGTTATCAGGCTTGAAATAGCAGGAAATTGGAATAAATGTGACTTAGAGAAAGGACACACCCTTCCCTCTGTACTAGTAAAGACAGAACCCATCTGGATTTTAAAGGGACATTAAACCCTCAGATTTATTAACATAAACCAATACTGTAATGTCT